ATGGCGTGGGCCATGATATTTCCCCAGATCTCGTGGCGCCCCTTCTTCTTTCGTTACGTCCCTGGCCCCCCCGCTGGGCCGCGCACGTGCCGCTGGTCATGATTTGCACCCCCCCCTCTTGGACACCCCCCTCTTGGTCGCTCCCGATTTACAGTCGGGGCCCTGAAGAAGGAACCTTTTTCGTTGACGAGGGGCTCCGCGTTCCTTAAGTGTTTGACAGCTTGCCTCAGGCTTTCCTTAGGTCTTCGACAGGAGATCGAAGGTTAACTTATGGAAAAAAGGGGCCTCGTTCCTTATTTAGGGTTCCTTAGGTCAACGCCCCGATTGTAGAGCCCCTCCTCGCGGTGAGAGCCGCAGCACGACCTCTGCGGTCGTCGTGTGCCGTCGTCGGCTCCTTTGCCGCGCGGCACGCTCCCCGGGGGCGGCGGGCGCGGGCGCGGAGGAGTGCGGCGGCCTGGACAGCCTCCGGGAGTGCCAGGACTCCAAGGATAGCCCCGCACTGGGGAGAGGGAGGAGGAGGTAGAGAAAGAGGAGGAGGAGGATGAAGAGGAGGAGGAGGGGGAGGATGAAGAGGATGAAGAGGATGAGGAGGAGGAGAAGGATGAGGATGACGATGAGGATGAGGATGACGATGATGCTGATGTTGATGCTTGTGCTGCTGCTCATGATGATGATGATGATGATGATGATGATGATGATGATGATGATGATGATATGCTGATGATGATGATGATGATGATGATGATGATGATGATGATGATGATGATGATGATGATGATGATGATGATGATGATGATGATGATGATGATGATGATGATGATGATGATGATGATGATGATGATGATGATGATGATGATGATGCTGCTGATGATGATGATGATGATGATGATGATGATGATGCTGATGCTAATGCTGATCCTGGTGCTGCTGCTGCTGATGATCATGATGGTCAGGATGCTCATGAGGATCATGAGGATCATGCTCATGATGATGATGAGGACGATTATAATGTTGATGATGATGCTGCTGCTGCTGATGATTATGATGGTGGTAAAGGTGGAAATGGTGATGAGAAAGAGCGTGTTCTACCGCTGCTGGCGGAAAACCGGGGGGGGGTCACTACCGGTTCGACCCTCCCCCCCCCCCCCTCCGGAAAAAACCGGGGGGGGGTGGTTTTTTTTTCCCCAACTTTTTTTTTTTTTTTTTACCGGTTCGAACCCGCCCCCCCCCCCCCACCCCCTCCGGATTCCGGAAAACGGGGGGGGGTCATACGGTTGGAACCCTCCCCCCCCCCAGTTCATCATGAAAAGGGGGGGGGGTCACTACCGGTTCGAACCCCCCCCCCCCCCTCGAAAACCGAGTGGGGGTGCGGACAGTGGTGGGGACGGTGTTGGTGGGGACAGTGGTGAGGGGACAGCGGGACAGTGGTGGGGACAGTGGGGGGACAGTGGGACAGTGGAGGGGACGGTAGTGGTGGGGACAGTGGTGGGGACAATGGTGGGAACAGGGGGGACAGTGGACAGTGGTGGGAACGGTGGTGGTGGGGACAGTGGTGTGGGGACAGTGGGAATGAGGTGGAAACACTGGGACAGTGGAGGGTACAATGGTGGTGGGGACAGTGGTAAAGGCGGTGGCGAGGACGGCGGTGGGACAATGGGACAGAGGTACAGTGGGGACAGTGACAGTGGTGGGGACAGTGGGGACAGTGGTGGAAACAGTGGGACAGCTCAGTGGGACAGCGGAGGAGTCAGTGGGACAGTGGGGACAGTGGGGATAGGCAGTGGTTGGGTCCGTGGAGACAGTGGGGAGAGTGGAACCGTGGTGGGAACAGTTGTGGGAACAGTGGGGACAGTGCGACAGTGGTGGGGGCACTGGTGGGGACACTAGGGACGGTGGTGGAACCAGCCGGGGCAGTGGTGGTGAGGACAGTGGTGCTGGGAACAACAGTGGGGGATGTCATGCGAGCGGTGGTAGGGACCGGGAGTCGTTTGCTGGCGGTGCGTGGGGGGGGGGTCGAACCGGTAGTGACCCCCCTCCGGTTTTCGAGGGGGGAAGGGGTTCCAACCGGTAGTGACCCCCCCCGGTTTTCCAGATCCGGAGGGGGGGGGGCGGGGGGGAGGGGTTCGAACCGGTAGTGACCCCCCCCGGTTTTCGAGGGGAAGGGGAGGGAGAGGGGGGGGGGAAGGGGTTCCAGCAGGGGGGGGGGGGGATTTTCGGAGGGGAGGGGGGGAGACCCCCGGGTTCCGGAGGAAAAGGTTGGCAATTTTCCACAGTAAAGCGGCGGTGGATCACGCTCTCTCGGTGATGATGATGATGCTGATGATGATGGTGTTGGTGGTGGTGATGATGATGATGATCATCATGATGATGAGGATGATCATGATCATGATGCATGATGTTCGTGAGGATCATTACGATCATGATCATGATGATGTTGATGCTGATACTGATGGTCATGATGATCATGAGGATCACGACGATTATGATCCTGCTCATGATGAGTATGATGCTTCTGATGATGGTGGTGGTGGTGATATGAACACGTTTACGGTCAATGTGTGGGCGGAGAGGTAATGAGCGAACGTTGGCCGCATCAGAATGCATTGCAGCCTTTGTGGATCAGGGCCTTGAGGGCCTGGGATGCTCCCTGCTTGCGCCACCGCGCGCTTCGCTGCCCCGCGGGCCCAGCAGCCTCGGATCTGCGGCTGGTGCACCGGGCGGCTCGCCGAGGGCGAAAGTCTGGCCCTCGCGGAGGGCGGCGCGCTCTTGGAGGTGTGCGAGTTGTGCTACCTCCTCGCGCTGGCGCGGCAGGGGGCGCGCGAGGCGCGGCTGGCACCGCAGGAGCGGGCGCTGCTCGTTGAGCAGTCGCGGCTGCTGGCGGCGCAGATCACGGCTCTGTCGACCTTGTCGCCCGATGCCGCATAAGGCCAAGGCCAAAGCCAAGGCGAAGGCGAAGGCTCTTCCTGTGCTTCCCGCTGCCGCCCGCGGCCGAGGCGCTGGACATGGCGGAGGACGGCGCGGTCGCGGGCGCGCAGGCGCGGCTGCTGGAGCGGCAGGTGCGCCCGTCGGCCTCGGAGGCTGCCTCGCGCCCGCGGCTGGAGGTGCGGCTGGCGGAGGCGCTGGAGGCGGCGCGGCTGGTGCGCCGGTGGTGCCCGGGCTCGGCGGCTTCCCTGGCTTGCCTGGAGCCCTTGGCGCGGGCGCCGCAGGCGCGCCCCCCCCTGCCCTCGGGGCGCCTGGCGACGGCGCTGGCGGCGGCGGCGGGGGCGGCGTCGGAGCGGCGCTGGTTGGCGCGCTGGCCGCTGCTGGCGCTGGCGGAGCTGGAGGCGCGGGCGCGCCGCCTGGCGCGGGGCCCGCAGGACCGGGCGCTGCCCTCGGCGTATTGGGAGGTGCGGTCGTCCCAGCTGCAGGAGTGCAGCTTGGCGGGCTCGTCGACGGGGCCTGGACGCAGGCAGCCGCCCTCGTCGGGGCCAACTGGCGCCAGGGCCTGGCCGTCGAGCTGCCGACCCACGACGTGGCGGGGGCGATCAGTGGGACCGCACTGTTCGAGATCGACGAGGTCGGCGTGCCCAGTGCTGGAGGCCAGTATCTGAGCGCGCAGTTCAGAGGCGCGTCCCTGCCTGCTGAGGCGGTGCGCTTTGACGGCGCCTTCCCTCCGCGCGGCGGCGGTCCTGCTGGGCTGCTGCACCTCTGCGCGCAGGGGCCTGCGCGATGTGGCGAGCCTGCGCAGGCAGGGCGGGCCGTCCTGCACGTGGAGTGGCTTCGGCTGCGCTCGACGCGCGGCCTGGTGGAGCCTTGGGTGCGGCCGAGCGCCTTCGGCGGCCGTGGTGGTGGAGCTGGTCGAGGCGGTCCCGCCCCCATCCCTGGCGGACCCGCCGCCGACCGCCTGGCAGCCGCAGCAGCTGCCCGCGCGCTTGCGGTCGGAGGCGGTGGCGGCCGCGGCGTGGCTGGCCGCGGCAGGCGACGGGCTCGCAGCGAGTCCGGCAGCCGCAGCGACGGCGAAGGCGAGCCGCGTTTTCGAGATGCCCCCTCCCGCGGCGGCAGCGTACGGCTGCTGGCGGAGAGACAGCCTGGCGCGCTCTACGACGAGGCGATGCAGAACATCGCCCGCGTCATGGGCCTGCGGGAGGGGGCGGACGGTTCCGAGACGAGGCCGAAGGTGGTCGGCTACTTGCAGGCCATCGTGTTCGGCCACCACCCCGTGTCCCAGCTGCGGATCAACGCGGTGCGCGAGCTCCAGACCTTGGCGACGGCGCTGGACCAGTTGGAGAGCGGCGCCCTGCCGCAGTTGAGCGACGTGCTGATGCAGAGGTTCAAGGCGCTAGAGCTCTCTCTGTCGGACGCGGGCTGGCAGGTTGTGAGCGAGCTCGAGATTGTCCCAGACGTGAGGCCGTCGCTGGCGTCGATGGACGAGCAGGATCTGGCGCGGCGCTCGGCGCTGCTGCGGAGGCGCTTGGAGGATGCCAAGAGCCGCGGAGCCTTCGGGGCGTTCGGCCGCGGCCAGGGGCGCGGGTGACCCGAGGGGGGGGCGCGGGAGGGCCAACGGCCGCGCTCCCCCTCTCGACCCGCGCCTCAGCCAGCGCGGGAACTCTCGCGCGGGAAGGGCAAGGGTCGAGGCCGCGGACGGTTCCGCTACTTCCCGCTCCGATGGGGGCAGCCCCGCTCGCGCTCTAGGGTCGCCAGCCGCAGCGCCTCGGGCCGAGGAGGGGCCCGCCGCAGCGCCCTCAGGCCCCCGCGCGCGGACTCCGCCCCCTCAGGCGGAGCGGACCCCCCGAGGGGACAGCCCTCACCCGCGCCGAGTTGTGCTGGCGGGGAGCCCCGAGCGCCACGCCTTCAGGCAGGACGAGCCAGCAGCGGCGGCGGCGGCGCCCCAGGGGGCAGGGCGCGGTCGCCCGAGACGCCGCGGCGGCAGGGGGCGCAACGCAGGGAGAGCCAACGGCTCGCGGCTCCGCCCGCCTGGCGGCCGCAGGGCTGGCCCCCCGGCGGCGGCGCGGTGAGAGCGCATGGTGGCGATGCCCCTGCTGATGACGCCCGGGCTGCAGCGGCCGCTCCTTTGCAGGCTGCTGCGCCGCGCGGACCGCCTGGGGCCTCGCCGTCTCGTTCGCTACCTGACCACTGCGCTGCTGCCCCTCTGGGATCGCCATTTCCCACTGCTGATGATGATTTTCCTCGACGCGATCCCTTGGGGGACTGGGGAGAACTTGCTGGTGCTGCTGGTGATTTGCTCCGTGAGCCCTATGACGTGGGCCCGATCTTGCTGAACCTCGTCAGGGACTTCCCCGGTTCGTTCGGTCGCTACGTCCGCGACTCCCTCAAACCTCAGCTGCGCGAGCATATGGCCACCATGGGAGGTCGGCTGCAACGTGACTTGCTGCCGTTACCGCGCCCTGCCATCGTGGAGACCGACGTCGTGCGCGACGGCGACGACCTTAGCGACCTGAACTGGGAGGCGCTCCACTGCAGGCTGGTTGTCACGGTGCTGGCGCTCAACTGGGAGGCAGGCTTTCGCTCGCTGAAGTTCGCGCGCCATTGCCGCAGGCGCCCGAACGCTGCTCAGCGGGCAGCCTTGGCGGCCCTGGGCCGCCGCCTGTACCTGGCGACGCGCATCGAGACCAGCCTGCCTGCGGAGCTCGACTGGGAGGACCGCCTGAAGGACCGCAAGATCGGCTACGGTGGCGCCGAGATCACCGCGCCTCACAAGCTGACCTTGGAGCAGGTGCTGGACGGCTTACCGCCGCCTGGTGTTGCGGCCTCGATTGAGGCGGCCGACGTCGCGACGGGCTTCGTGCGGGACGCGTTGCTGGATCCTGGGCTGGTGCTGCTGCCGCCTGCGCTGCGCCGTGCGGCGCCGACTTCGGCGCGGGTTTGGGCCTCGGAAGGCGAGTGGCATCGCATCGTTGAGGCCCTTCATGAGCGCGGGATGGTCGGCCCGATCTCCGCGTCTGACATCGCGTGCCGGGATGGGTCGCCGCTGCTGAACGGAGCCTTGGGCGTTCCGAAGGCCCACGACGCCCCTGCCAAGTGCCAGGACGGGATGCTGAGGCCCGTGCTCAGGCTCATCACCAATCTGATCCCGTCGAATGCCGGCCAGGAGTGCATCGTTGGCGACACGCCCGAGATGCCGACGATGAGCCAGCTGAACGGCCTGGTCTTGACGGAGTCCGAGGACTTGCTGTGGAGCGGTGCCGACAGGAAGGCCTTCTTCTACGTCTTCCGTGCAGCGCCGCCGTGGTGGCCGCACACGGTGATTGGGCTGCCCGCGCCGTCGCGCCTACTGGGTCTCAAGGACGGCGGCACTACCCACATCAGCCTGCGGGTAATCGGCATGGGCTGGAGCAGCGCGGCGGGTGTCACGACTCACCTTCATCGCAACGCGCTGCTCTGCAGCGGCGCGGTGCCTCGCGGCCTGAGCCCCAGCTGCGAGATTACCCGGCGCCGCCGCCTGCCGCTTGGTGCAGAGAAGCCCTGCCCGCCTGCTTGGATGGGGTACATCGATAACTTAGAGATCGCCGAGATCGTCGACAAATCTGAGGCCGACAAGTTACGCGGGACGGTCCCCGAGCTGCTGACTGACGCTCGAGTCTGCTACGAGGCAGCAGGGGCAAGGACCTGCACCGCGTGGTGCGCGCCACCACTCTGGGCGAGCTTGTTGACGGTTTTGAGGGTGTCCGTCGGCCACCTGCAGGATACATTACTGAGATGGCCAGCCTCGCGCTCTGGGTTCTGGGCAAGAGGCGAGCCAGCATGCGATTGATACGTATTCTTCTTGGGCGCTGGGTTCGCGCGCACTGCTTCCGCCGCCCGCTGGCCGCGAGCTTCGCTTACACCTGGAAGTGGCTCAACGACCCGCGCTGTGGAGGCCGCTTCAGCGTGAGCGTGATCGAGGACTTGCTGATGTGCCTAGCCCTGTCGGGGCTCTGCGTGGCCGACATGAGGCTCGATGTCGATCACCTGGTGACGGCGTCGGACGCGTCGGAGGCCGCTGGAGCCGTGGTGCACAGCGCGGGGCTTACCGAGCGCGGCCGCGTCGTTGCGGGCAGGCGCCAGCGGCCCGCTAACGCCGCCTGCGAGGAGGAGACCGCCCTGATCACCGTCTTTGATGGTATCGGTGGCGGACGCCGAGCCTTCGAGATACTGGGCCTGGTACCAGCGGTGCAACTGTCGTTCGAGGTGGACCCGCAGGCGGTTCGCGTCGCGCGGCGCGCTTACCCTGGCACGCAGCACCTCGGAGATGTTACATCTGCTGACCCTGCTGCCCTGGCTGGTCTGCTGCGGGCCCGTGGCCGCGTCGCCCGCGTGGTGGTCATCGGCGGCTTCCCATGCCAGATCTACGCGAGCTTGAACGTCGACCGCAAGGGCTCGTCGGACTCGCGCGCCTCGCTTGTCGATCACATGGTGAGGGTCATCCGAGGCCTGCGGGCGGCCATGCCCGAGGTGAGCGTTGACTTCCCCGGGGAAAATGCGGCATCAATGGCAGAGTCCGACGTCCTTCACCTCTGCGGGTTGTTCGAGCGGATCCCCTTGGAGGTTGAGGCTGGGGACATTGGCTGGGTGAGGCGTCCTCGTCTCTACTGGCCGTCCTGGGACCTGCTGCCGTCGTGCGAGGCCAAGACCGTGATGGTACTGACCAAGGACGGCGCCTCTCGCCGCCGGTGCCGCGTGTCGCTGGAGGTGGAGCGCCCGCCGCTCGAGGAGTGGCTGCCGGCTGGCGCGCGCTGCCCTGGAGCGGAAGGTGGCGAGCCCCTCCCTACGTTCGTTCGCTGGGCGCCGCGCTCGCAGCCGCGCCCCAGGCCCGCGGGCATCGGGGAGCGCACGGCTGCTGAGCTGACGCGCTGGGAGGAGGCGGCCTTTGCGGCGCCGCCATGCCAGTTCCGTGACAGGTGGTGCATTTGCTGGCCTGACGGACGGATCGCGCCTCCTGACGCGGTGATGAGGGAGAAGCTGATGGGCTTCGCCGAAGGCCACACCGCGCCCTGCATGACCAGCAGTGCGGCGAAGTCCGAGCCCAGTAAGTACGAGGGGCTGAGGCGTTCGCTGATCGGCAACTCGTTCCAGTGCGAGGTGGTGGCGTGGCTGCTGGCGCACTGGGCTGTTGCGGCTGGGCTGCTGGTGGCGGTGCCGCCCTTCTCCGAGCTGCGCGAGAGCGCTCGGGCCTGGGCTGGCGGGCGGAAGCTGTGGGCTGGCGACGTCACCTCGCTGCGACGCAGCCGCGCGGAGGTCGACGCGGAGGTCCGCGACGAGCTGGTGGCCTGCAGCGCAGCCGCGCCGGCCGAGCGGCAGCAGGCGGGCGAGGAACCCGCCGCAGCGGCGCCGGCGGCGGCCAACAGGCTCGTCTACGTCGGCCGCGGCTCACGGCGCTGGGGCCTCGCCCCGTCGTGTTTCGGCAGCCCGTTCGCAGTGGGCCCGAGCTGCTCCCGCGAGGACGCGGTGGCGCTGTTTGCTGGATGGCTGCGCAAGCAGCCCGAGCTGCTTCGCCGCCTGGAGGACCTGCGCGGTGCCAAGCTGGTCTGCCACTGCAGTCAGTCCGAAGCATGTCATGCAGATGTGCTGCTTGCAGAACTGGCCAAACGCGATGCTGCGTCCTGGCGTGATGCGGATGTCTCGCGTAGGCTGGTGATGGGCCTTGTGATGGCGTGCCACAGCAATGGTGCGGACCTTCGTGGTGACGGGAGCTCTGAGGAGTTCAACAAAGTTTTCCCTCGGCAAGAGATTGATGCAGGTCTTTGGCAATGGCGTAAGGCACGACAGCTGGTGTGGGATGTTCCTGAACATATCAATGTACTGGAGTGCCAGGGCGCGCTGATGATGATTCGATGGCGTGCTCGGTCGTTGGGCCGACAGCAGCGAGTCTTCTTGCACCTCCTCGACAGTATGGTCAACATCGGTGCGCTCTCAAAGCACCGCTCAAGCAGCAGTCAGCTCAACAAGGTTGTGCGCAGCTTATCAGCCTGGGAGCTGGCGACGGGCGGGCGGGCAGTATTCGGGTTCACCTCATCTGCTCGGAACCCCGCGGACGCGCCGTCGCGCCAGAAGGAAGGAGAAGCGGTCAAGCCCCGCCGACAGGCGCACGGCCAGAGCTGGCCTGGGGAAGCTGCAAGATGCCCAGATCGGCGCTGCCGCTCTTGCTGGATTCCGTCGAGCAGCCAGCAGTTCGTCGGCCATCTTAACGCCATGAATCTGCCGTTGCCGTTCAATGGGAAGACACGGATGTCACATTACAAGTTTACCTTGTTGTGGGCCAAGGGTGCCACCAGGAGCCAAGCTAACGTTACACTGAGTTTGGTGCAGCACCTGTTGAGGACGCGCCAGCAGTACTCTGGCGCGCATGATTTCAGCTCTAGCCTTGCGGCAGAGCATAATGTCGTTGCCATGGACAAGGACAGCCTGTCAAAAAGGGAGCACGAGAGACGATGACACTAGGTGACCCGCTTGAGGGAGCGGTCATCCGTATGCAGCTGCAGCGCGACGGGCGTTCATGGCCCTCGTCTCCTCGTGCCTTTCATTTGCTTGTTCGCACTGGCCCGCGAGATTCGGGTGCGCGCATCTCGGCCTAGTCTGTATATGCGCAGAGGCGGTGCTACGCAAGAATACTTGCTGACAGGCGACTTGCCTAAAGTGTGCTCCGAGGTCATTGGAGCTCATAAAGACAGCAAGATTTACATTCAGGTGGGGCCGCGATTTTTGGCCGACATGCGTTTTCTGCCGCCACCCGTTCCTCGCTCCAGTCCTTCTCAGGACCTTGATTGCCCGCGCTCGGGCATACTGTTGCAAGTAACCTCAAATCCAGGCCAGGTGCGACTCTGAAGAATGTTGTGGGCGGCCTTCGGCCATATTTCGGAACACATTGGAGAGCTTTTGGGTGTTCTTGGAGTGGAGAGCTTCTTCTTCTCGGGCTTCTGGGCACTGCGTGGTGCGAGTCTGCTCCCCCTCGAGGCCCTCTTGGGGCGGCGTTCTGACCCCGGTCGTTGCGCGACGGTGGTGCACTCGAGGTGCGAATTCTGCCGTGGCCTCGGGGTGAGCCCTGTGGCTCGCACATGCTGGTGCCGTTGTCTCGAGGCACTCGAAGCTCTGTCAACAGCTTTGGCCAACGAGTAGAGGGAATAAGAAGGGGGAACGCCCAGTGTGAGTGATCATTGCATGTTGTGGCTCCCCTTTATTCCCTATGAGCTACCGCTCTGACCCCCGCCTGCACACACATGAACACGTGCACGGTCAATGTGTGGGCGGAGGGGTAATGAGCGAACGTTGGCCGCATCGGAATGCATGGCAGCCTTGGTGGCCCGCCCGCAGTCCGCCCTGTGCCATGCCGTCCAGGCTCCTTCTCTGCCTGGCCGCTCTTGCCCGTTCAACGTCTCGCGAGGGCTTCGCTTCTTCTTCTCGGGCTTCTGGGCACAGCGTGGTGCGAGTCTGCTCCCCCTCGAGGCCCTCTTGGGACGGTGTTCTGACCCCGGTCGTTGCACGACGGTGGTACACTCGAGGTGTGCATTCTGCCGTGGCCTCGGGGTGAGCCCTGTGGCTCGCACATGCTGGTGCCGTTGTCTCGAGGCACTCGAAGCTCTGTCAACAGCTTGGCCAACGAATAGAGGGAGTAAGAAGGGGCAGCGCCCAGTGTGAGTGATCATTGCATGTTGTGGCTCCCCTTTGTTCCCTATGAGCTACCGCTCTGACCCCCGCCTGCACACACAGTGATGGTTGTGATGATGGTGATGATGATGACGATGATGATGATGATGGTGATGATGATGATGATGCTGCTGATGATGATGATGCTGATGATGATGATGGTCCTGCTGCTGCTGATGATGATGATGATGATGCTGATGTTGATGATGATGCTGATGCTGGTGGTGGTGGTGGTGGTGGTGATGGTGATGGTGATGGTGATGATGATGGTGGTGATAATGATGATGATGGTGATGATGACGATTATGATGATGATGATGATGATGATGATGATGATGATGATGATGATGCTGATCATGATGATGCGGAGGAGGAGGAGGAGGAGGAGGAGGAGGCAGAGGAGCGCAGTCGGTGGCGGCGTGGGGCTCAGGAGGGGAGGGGGGGGGGGGAAAATGAGGGTAGAGGAGCGGAGGACGCGCGCGAGTGGTGAGGAGAAGGGAAAAGGAGGAGGAGGAGGAGGCGGAGGTTATAAGAGCAGGGCAGCAGAAAAAGAAAGCGGCTGGGGAAAAATAGGGAGGGGTGAGGAGGAGGAGGAGGAGGAGGAGGAGGTGGGAGGAAGAAAATCGTTAAAAGATGAGACAACATAGCGAGGGGGAGGGGCATGTGGAGGAGGATGAAGAGGAGGACGAGGAGGAAAAGGACAAGTGTACTGTAAGGAATTGCGTTGCCAAGTGCGCTGCCTTGTACGTCCGCCGCCGCGCGGTGGGGCGGGGATGGATGGGACTTCGGGGCCCTTGAATTTTTTCGCGTCTGGGATGTAGACGACGGGGGTTGAACAGCTTGCCCTCGAGCCGTTTCGTTTTGTTCACTCTGCCCGGAATGCTTCGCCTGGGCTGCGTCTTCGGCATGCAACCTCGTCGGTGAACAGTTGGCACGTTGTACCTCTGGAGCACCGCGTCGCAGGCGAATTATTTCGCCGCCGCCTGGCCTGATTTTTTGACCGCCCGCCCGCGCTTAGTGTCTGCCCGCCCGCGCGGCGTTTTCCTTCCGCCCCTTGCGCTGGAGAAGGAGGAGGACCAGTGCAAATTCAATACGCATCAACGATGTCGCAGCAACCCCCCCGTCAAGTTTCCTCTTCACAGGTCCCTACATCAGGTTAGGTCATGGGGGGAAATGCCCCGCTGGAGGACAAACGCCTCAGAACCCTCGAGCGTGCCAAAAGTCTCACTCCTGAGGCTTCGCGCCGCGAGTGAATTGGACTGCTGCGCCTTGACACTCCTAGATCGCGCAAGAGTACCATGGGCGGGACGTCAACGCCGCGAAGAAACGGAGCTGCTGCGTCCTGACAGTCCTAGATCGAGCCAGGATGCCGTTCTCGGGACGTCGACCGTGCGCGTCGGTGACCGGTTGCAACTTCTCAGGGCGAGCGTGCGCGGCGCTGCGGCGAGAACCACACGTTGAAAAAACGTTGCCCTCCATCCTTGCAGCTGCTACACACTTTCAGGCGAATGCGCGCGGTGCCAAGGTGAGAGCCACATGTTGAAAACGGCTCGCCCGACATCCGTTTTTTTTTAATAAAATGTTTGAGACGAATGTGCGTGGCGCTAAAGCGATAACCAACAATTTCTAAAGAACGGCCCCCCCTCCATCCGTGAAGCTGGTGTACACGTTTCAGACGAAGGTGCGCGGCGCTCAGGCGAAGGCCACATTTCGAAAACGGCCCGCCATCCATCAGTGAAATTGTTGAAATTCTCAGTGTTCAGGATCATTACTGGTGAGAAAGTCTCAGGCGAAACGCCTGGCCAGCCCTACCGACAGGGAAGTGTTAATTATAAGGTGACAGGGATGGTGCTGTAGGAAGAGGAGGACGAGGAGGAGGAGGAGGAGGGGACAGGAGGAGGCAGGACTCCTCGCCCCCGCGCGGAGAGCGCGGAGCTGCCGTGCCCGTGGCCGCGAGGACCCCCTGGCAACCAGCCTGGTTGAGAAGGTAGTCCCCATCATATTCTCCACGTGAGCGCGGCTGGGGCGCAGGGCACCGCTCGCGGAGCGCGCTTCGGGCCGCCCGCCCGGGCAAAGCGTGGCGCCCGAGCAGGCCAGGCCGCCAGGTCCAGAGTCCCTGTGGCGGTGGGCGCGGTGGCGGGCCAGAGGCACGCAGTCGAACCAGCAGCAGCAGCAGCAGCAGCAGCAGCGAGAGTGGTGAGGTAGGGGCCAGGGGCGAGGAATACGGAGGGGCATGGTTTGGGCGACGAACAGGGAAAGGCGGAGGGGGATGAAGGGGATGCGCATGAGGAGGAGAGGAGGGAGGAGTATGAAGAGGAGGGGGAAGATGACGATGAGGAGGAGGAGGGGAGGACCAAAGTAAACGCAGCACACGCACACACATACCTTTTGCTGCTGCACGCACTCCCGTCCCGACCCCCCTCCTCACTCGTCTAATGTGTTTCCTCTTGCTGCGGTCAGCAACCGCCGGAAATGTGGGTACAGGTGGGTGCCCCATGGATTTGAAGGGTGCGAGCTGCACGTGACGTGATGGGCGCTTCAGCGATCAGGTCAATGCTCGACCGCTCAACGCTTATGAATCTCGGTGGGACCCTGCTGAAAGCTTCAAGGCGTGTGAGCAGCGCTGAAGCGAGAGCACGGTTTTGAACATGGACAGCCTCTCCTGTCTGCATGAGGTTTCAAAGGCGAGGGCTACACTTCGCAGTTGAGCCGCCGTGCATCTCTGGAGTTGGCGGGAACTCCGCGGAAGGGCGTGCGCGGCGCCGGGGCGAGAGCTGTGCATTGGCAGCTTTCCGCCCTGCAGCCGCGCAGTTTCGTTCAGCAGTGGATGTTGCAAGAGTTTCTTGCTGCTGCGCGGGTGCTTTACACTGTACAGTGCCGTTTTCAACACATGCTCCGCGTGCGGATCATATATTAAAAATGCAGGGATTCAGTATTAAAAACAATGATGATCTCATGCGTAAATTTATTCATGACTTAATCCTGTATTAAAAACCTATATTGTTTTAAATCCTATGTATTAAAAACTGCCCTGTAGGAGGCATATGGAAAAATTGACATCGCGACTTGGGTTTCTGCAGGGCTGTCTGCCCGAACGTGTGGCGGAGCCCATGGAAGGCAGATTCAACATTTGCATGGCGATTTGGTGGCCCGAAGGGCTGTCTACCGCAATCTGCTGCGTACCATGTGGAAGGTGAACTCGACATGATGGTTAATCGAGAGCTGGTGGCAGGAAAATTGGTGCCGAAACCTACGGAAGGTATATTCAAAAGGCACGTCGCGAGCTAATTGACAGCGGGGGTGTCCACCATTGTTTTCTGCGCAGTGTGTGGCAGAACGTGGACATCGCAGTTTGGTTTCCCAAACGGTGTATGTTGCGAGACGCGGCGCAACCTACGGAAGGTAGACGCAAGATGGACATCGCGATTTTGTTGCCCGAATGGTGTTTGCCACATCTCATGGCAGAACCTACTGCGCAAACCACGGAAGGTTGGCACAAACATTGATATCGTGACTTGCTTGCCCGAAAGGGGTCTGCCGTAATTTGCGGTGCAGCCTATGGATGGTTGACTCTCCTCTTGGAAGTCGCGATTTGGTAGTGCGACTGCGTGTCTGCTGCAACCTGTGGCGCAACCTATGGACGGGGCAGACTCGCCCTGGAAACAGCGTTTTGGTGGTGTGGTGGAATGTCTGGCGAAACCGGACGCACATCCATGTAGGGTTTCTTTGCGGGGACAGTTGCCGTAGATGGTTCG